TTCCTTTAAATAGGCTCCAACCCCTGAACTTAGGGTTTTCTCTGCCAGTACATACTCGGCGAGTCCATACTTGGACTCGTCGAGTCCGCTCATTAAATCCACGTGATCAACTTGACGTGACTCAGCGAGTCAGACTTACGACTCGTCTAGTCCCTCCTGAATCCTCAAAATTGAAACAATGACTATCATACCCAAAATTATGGATGTTACAAGTACCTCTTTCGATTAAATCCTATTCATCTTTCTCTCATGTAACAAGAATTTATTGGACCATATATCCACCTCAAAAACAACATATTGAAAGTTAGACCAGGGTGTAAACAACATTATGTACAAATTGAACATCTAGAGTAATCACTTTTGTAACCCCACGTATTAAAGAAACCTACAAGTTTTTTTTTTTTTTTTTTAAATAGGGATATATACAGTAAAGTCTAAATATTTTCATCGATTTGACAAGAAAGTCCTAAACATTATTTTTTTGAAAATAAAGTCCAAATTACCGTCAGTTTTTGACACTTTTACCCTTTTTTCCCGGTTAACCGCTAATTAGGACTTTTTTTGTCAAAAAAAGAAATTTTTGGGCTTTCTTGTGAAATCGTCAATTATGACTTTACTGTCACAAAAATAAAGTTTAGGACTTTCTTGTCAAGTCGTTGAAAATATTGAGACTTTAGTGTGTGTGTATATATATATATATATATATATATATATATATATATATATATAGAGAGAGAGAGAGAGAGAGAGAGAGAGTCAAGATCAAATAAGAAGGAAATTTTTGGTAGGAAGGTAAGAAGTTTTTTTTCTACATATTTTTTTCGCGAACAAACAAAATGAATCATTAGATGATTCATTTGTAAGATGATTCACAAGAAAAAATTCTCAAAAAAACATCTCGATGATTCATTTATATAATGATTTTGTTGTTATTCACTAAAATTGTCATAAAAGTGGATTTTTTTCTTAATTTACTTAAAAATGAATCATATAGATGTTTTTTTGAGAATTTTTTCTTGTGAATCATCTTACAAATGAATCATCTAGTGATTCATTTTTTTTGTTCGTCAAAAAAATATGTAGAAAAAAAACTTCTTACCTTCCTACAAAAAAATAATTCTTACCGGATCTATATCCTATATATATATATATATATATATATATATATATATATATATATATATATATATATATATATATATATATATATATATATATATATATATATTTGGTTAGAAATTTAATGGTATGGTACTTTTTTAGCATAAGAGTTATTGAAACATTCTCTAAGTAGGTAGATCATATTGAAATTCTTAACGTTTGCTTCTTGTTAAATCGTTTTTTTAATCTCAACAAACCGATATTGAAAAAATTGAGATAATCAAGAAAGAAAGAAAGAAAGAACCAGGTTTGTGTTTATAAAAAGCCAACACAACCTTCGTTTTTTTCGATTTCTTATTTCTCCATCTTTTGGACTGCAAAAAGCCAACACGACATTCGTTCTTTCTTTCTTGATTTTCTCAATTTTTTTCAATATCGGTTTGTTGATATTAAAAAAACGATTTAACAAAAAGCAAACGTTAAGAATTTCAATAGGATTCAGCTGATTAAAAAAGGTTACAATAACTCTTATGCTTAAAGAATATCATACAATTAAATTTTTAACCAAAAAAATTATATATACACTAAAATCTCAATATTTTTAAGGATTTGACAAGAAAGTCTTAAACTTTATTTTTTTGACAGTAAAATCCTAATTGACGATTTGACAAAAAAGTGCTAAACTTTATTTATTATTATTATTATTATTTTGACAAAAAAAGTCCCCATTACCGGCTAACCGGAAAAAAAATGGTAAAAATGTCAAAAACTACCGGTAATTTGGACTTTACTGTTAAAAAAATAAAGTTTAGGATTTTCTTGTCAAATCGATGAAAATATTGAGACTTTATTGTATATATCCCAAAAAAATATTTCATGAATCAACATAATATTTTAAAGTAAAATGTACAAAGTGATGCAAATATATACTATACAAATAATTATTTCATGATTGTTTCTCTATACAAATAATTATTTCATGATTATTTTTCTATACAAATAATTATTTCATGATTGTTTCTAATAAAAAGAGCATGCAATCACACAAGTTTTACACAAGTGAGTCATATGAATCTTTTTTTTCTTTAAAACAGAATTCAAATTAACAAGAAACTCAATCAACTAACATATTGTCAAAACACCATAAGATATAACTTCGATTCTAAATTTAATATTGTTATCAGGATCTGAAGAAAAAATCAAAATCTTAAAAAACTCCAATTGAAAGAACTCCATAAGTAACCAAACTCCCATTTCAAAATTCAATTAAAATGACAATCAATGCAAGTAATCCACAAATTGGTTAAACCCAGAAGTGAATGTCGAGCTTTGAGCTTAATTTCTAATCACGAAGAAGAATAAAACCCAACAATTTTGGAAAACAACGATCGATTTCAACAAAATAAAATCGATTTCAACAACATTAGAATCATAAATCGGGAAAAAAAAAAACGTACAGGTTGATGATACTGATTCACGAGCAGGGGCGGAACACACACAACCCTTGTAAATAGGGGGCCAAAAAAGATTATATTAACAAAATTGTAGACTATGTTGTCTTTTGTAAAATGATTTTCAAATTAGGTTGATATTTAAAAGAAGATTGTTTTACATAATATTTATGAATGAATTTAAATTTTCTAACTAAATTATAATTTGAAAAAGGATTAGCGGCGCAGCTTGTTGTCCAGTTGTGTTCTGACGATATGTATTTACCTCTATTATGAATATATTAACAGAAAATCTAAAGAATTCAAATATATTATACCTTTGATTTAAATAACATAACATAAAATATTGTTTATACGTCAATGGATTTAAAATATTAAAATGACAGATTGCGAAATTATCCTGTACTTTTTATGAGATTTATAATAAAAAACATGTTATTAAAATATTTAAACAAATCTATTAATCTACGTATACAATTATCGAGAATAGTATCTTTAATTCATATATAAACATAAGTTATTAGGATATGGAATTATAATTTAACAATAAATTTATAAAAATAAAAATAAATAAATAAGCAGGAAAAATACAAGTACCCATGTACTGGGCAGAGTGTTTTCTTTTTTCTTTTAAAACCCTAGGATAATACTAGAAAAGATGCATCAATTTATCTCCATTTTTTAGAGTGTTTTCCTTCGGTTGACCAACAATGAGACAAGAAAGATGAAAACAAGTGAAGCCAGAGAAGCAAAGCAACATCGGAGAGGCAAGGTAACATCGGAGATACAAAGCATCACCGCCACCAAGGCATGAAGGTTTAGTCACGATGGAGAGTTGAAGCAACAACGGTGCAACAGTGGCAATTTAGTGTTTTTTTTTGACTTTACATTATTGTTTTTCAGTTCTTCACAGAGTTGTCAATTTTCTTCTTCATTTTCTTGTAATTTTATATGTTTAGAATCAGATTTGCTTCATACATCGCTAATTAGTATGCCAAAAAACAGGGGGGTCATGGCCTCCCCTGACCTCTTAAAGGATCCGCCACTGTTCACGAGGAAGTGGACGGAGAAGGAAGGGTTGGGGCAGTGACAACGACAGCGTTGTGAGGCTGCGACGGACAATCTAGTAGAACAATGATCGATGGGGGAAAGGAAATTGATTTTCACAAGCTAGAAAAACATTTTTATTGTTGTATTAGATAATTAAAAAACATTTTATTGATCTGTACGCAACAAATTTTTTCCATACACAACAATTGGTGCTTTAAAATGTTATATTGTACAAATATATAATACATAAATTCTTGTATATGACAAAAAATATTACGTAGGAATCATTTCTCTTCTCAAAATATAAATAAATAAATAAATATTATGTTTTTTTTTTGTAGCCGTCGAACTAGGTTTTAAAACCATAAATGATGTGTATTTTAGACTCACATAATTCCTACATGTGTAATAAACTATACACCATCAAGTAAGCAAAAATCAACTCCAATTGTTAATAATCACGAACATATATAACTGTTGGGTTATGATGCTAATTTACAGTAACATAATTACTATAAACAATAAAAGCAAAAGAGGATCCAACACCATAATCCAACCAAACGATCATAACCATGTATTATAAACAATAAAATGTCTAAATTTATTTGTAGTGAAACTGTTTGAAGATAGAGCCAAAATCGGAACCCTTCTAACAGTGTCGCACCCCTAAACAAGCAAGCAAGAACCTTTCTATCGACATCGACGTCAAGAAGGGGAGAGAAAACGGAGGCAAATTTTATTCTAGGTTTTTAGTGATATTGCACACCTTTTAATAAGCGTGAGATTTAAAAAATTATCCAATTAAATAAATAATTCAATCCTTATATTTATCATCAAAAATTATAACTAAAAATATATATTGCAATATAATGTATATTTGTCATCAACATAAGATGTATAAAAAACAAATGAGATTGTGTAAATTTTGAAATACGTTGGTTCAACATGATTCTAGAAATTGTACATTTGTCAAAAGACATGCTCAAAAGAGTTGCATAGAAGATGTTGAAGGAAAAAGAATTGGTGCGTAATTCAAAAGGTTTGGTTTTCATGATGAAAGGAATTCTTCTTATGATTATTGAGAGTAGAATGTTTTTGTTATTATTACAATATTTTATGAATTTAAAGTGCGATATGTTTTATTTGAATGTTTTGAAATAATGTTTCGTTTATATATTCAATTGTAATGACGTTTGAAGCATATTTTATTTGTGATTTGTATTTCTATGTGTTATAATAAATTCATATATCTTTTTATATATGAAATTTAAACACTAAAGTATTACATTATCCATAATAAATATTATAATAAACTTATGAATCGTTTAATGCGACTAATAGTAATAGTTTTAATATAGAGAAGCATAACAACAAACAAATCTAAAATTCAAATCTAAGTTACTGATGTTTTTTGAAAGGTCTAAGCACATTTGAAGGATTTATTGGGCAATTTCTTATATCATGGTTGACAAATTGGTTGCATCCTTTGCATTTGCGTTTTGGTTTAAGTGATTTTGCTATTGCTTTTTCTGCAGCACTTTTGATTCGACTCCTCTTTCCACTTCCTTTTGTTTTTATCTCACTTGGTACTTTGATTTTCACATCACTTGAAATTGGAACTCCGATAATATTTTCAATCACATCTTTTATTGGAATTGAACTTGATCTTGTAGAAACATCCTTTCCACAAGTTTCACTTAATTGTTGAAGAGAGTTCACCAATTCTTGTAGTTTTTCTTTGTCATGAATAACCGATTCAACGCATTTCTCAAAAAAAGAAGTTGCACCCTGCAAGAGATTTGAAATTTCTGTACTGCACACTCTCCATTTTTGGTTTATCTTTTGAAAACCAATATCCACTATGTTCTTTCTCCATCTATCTAGAATGTATTTTTCAGGTATCATGGCAATTTCATAATCTATAAGAATTCTCAAAGCATGACTACAAAGGATTCCAAAAAATGTGAAATGCAAACATTCACATTCAATTGTTTCATCTTTTGCATCAAAAGAAAACTAAGAAGTAATAATAAAATTTTGTTACAAAAATATATTTATAAATTCTAAATAATGTTAAATTAAAATAATAATGAAGTAGCATAATTGCATACCTTAAATTCTGGTCGCTTGCCTGATTTTAGTTCTTTGTAGACAATTGTGCATTGTTGACGACCATCAATCAAAACCGAATTTTTTTTGAAAACACTGATAGAATGCCTTTTTTATTTGTTTTTGAACTTTTATGAATGCTTCTCGTGTGTATACCAATGATGCATGCTTTTCTATTTTCAAATTTTCATTTGGAAATAGCAGTTGTGGAGAAGTATCTCTTGATGCAATGTCTAATCTTTTTTGTTCATGACGCTGCTTTGAAAGTGCAGTGTCAAAGTTGAACATAAAATTAACAAGTAAGTTGGTTGGACTTGAGAAAACATTGAAAAAGGAATTAGAACTTTCAGATCGAGATGTAGTCTTCATAAGTCCACACATTGGTATATCTCTGAAATAGGATGGAATCCATTTATCTCTCTTGTTGAACATATCGTCCAACCATTTATTTTCCTTCAAATGAAACTCATTCAACATCAAATCCCATTTGTTCTCAAATTCTGATGGTTTAATATTCATATTCCAAACTAGTTGATTTATGCGTTTCTTGAAATCTGAATTTTAAACTAAGTCAGCTTCAATCTGTCATGTTAAATTTGGTTTTATTAGTATATTTTCATAAGCTATATGTAATTTAGTAAATTAAATTTTTTGTTACCTTTGATGGCATTTTTGACATTATGTGCCACATACATAATCTGTGAGTACATCCTTGAAACACCTTTGCTATTGAACAAGATAATGTTGCATCCATGTCTGACAGAATCATTGTTGGTTTCTTCTTATGTGATGACAAAAAAGCTTCTAATAACCAAGAGTATGATTCAATTGTTTCATCTGATATTAGTCCTGCTCCAACGTTGATTGTCTTGTCATGATTGTTTATTGCAGTGAAAGGAACAAATATCATATTGTACCTGAAAATATTTGTAAAATGTATCCCTTATTATGTAATATTATTTAATAAATATAAATGTTACCTGTTTGTTCTATAAGTTGCATCCATTGATATAACATCAGAAAACTTAGAGTAGTTTTCTCTTCCTGTTTCATCAACCCAAAACATAGCATTTAGCACATCATCATCCAACTTATATTGAAAATGGAAATTTTGATAATTATCTCTGCGAATTATCAACTGGTCTACAACACATTGAGCATCATTTGGTCCAACAATAGTTGTATAATCTCTCCAAAAGTTTTTGAAATCATTCTTTGTTGCTGGAAAATTATCATATCCTCCCTTTAATGATGCTCTTAACTTGTGTGCTTTTGTGGCACCAATGTTGATAGTTGAAGCTTTAACAATTAGTTCTTGATCAAAAATACTAAGAGGATGATTTGGAGAGCAGATGTTTTCTTCATTAAATTCAGTAAGTGGATGGTTATGTGCGTCTTCAAATGCATATACAGTGATTTTATTTGTTGCAACATTTCTGTCAAAACCAATCATTGCCATACATCCTGTGACCTTAGAATATGATTTCATTTCCTGTTTGTTCAGTCGTTTGGATGTAAGAGTATCAATGTTTTTTTTTTTGGATTTCCATATTTGTTGCATCTTACTTGTTTTTTCCTTAGACTTTGATCCCCGTATTTGGTTGTTGTTCCTAATCTAATTCCAAAACCAACTGCTTTGGCATAATTTCTGTACATTTCAATTCCTTCCTTTCAACTTGACACAATTTGTTCTTTTTTAGGAATGATATCTGTAGCAACATGTGGAATGTACACATCATCTTGATTTATATAAGATGTTCCTGTCAAATATTCAAAAAGCTCAATATTGAAATATATTAAATATGTTCATAATTATGTATTTAATATAAAGAAGGTAAACATGCCTTTATCCTTTTCTTTTGCTGCTGCACTTGTAGTTCCTTTTGAAAGTTGAACTTCGGAGTCAGTTTATTTATTTTAAAATTATTAGTAATTATTCTATAGATTTTAGTAATATATGTCAAATTTAATTATTGAATAATAACATCAAAAATATTCATCTTATTATTTATTAAACTTGCCTTTATCACCATTGTTGAATGTTGATTTTGAAGGTTCAATAGTTAAAACATTGAAAGAGTCTTCCAATTCATTACTTCCTGTCCAATATTCAGAAAGATTAATATTGAAATAAGAATTTATATGTAAATATTTAGTAAATGAAAATTAATTAATCATACGATTAACTTTTTTTTTCTTCGAATCATGAACATCATTTTGAAGGTTGAAATTAACTTTCAGTATCATCGTAAAAATATATGTAATGAATGTGTAACATAGTATTGTAATGTTAGGTATTTATAAATTTTGAATATTAGAATAAAAAATATAGTAATTATACAGAATGAAAACTTGCCTTTATCAACATCATCTAACGTTGATATTGAATTTCCGATAGTTAAATTTTGGGAAGATTCCTTTGCTTTATCAATTAAATAAGTAGAATAAATGTCTTCATATTCTTTACTAGACATCTTGAAACAACCCAAAAATACGACCCAAAAATTTCGTTTTTCGATATAATCAAAACCATAATCAGAGTGTCATATAATAAAACCATACGTGATGTATTCCAACATAATAGAAAACACTGTGCGGAAACTGTATCATACTACGGCAAATCAAAACAAACTAAATCAATCCCAGGCTAAAAGCTAAAGCTATGGTGTGTGCGATGCCATCACCCCGAGCTCTTCCCTTTGCTTGCGGAAGTACCTGAAACCAAAACTGAAACTGTAAGCACGAAGCTTAGTGAGCTCCCCCAAACTACCACATACCATACAATAACATATAGACACATATTGGGCCTTGCCCACTGCATCGGGCCGAAGCCCGGAAACTGCATCAGACCGAAGTCCGGAACTGACCGGGACCTTGTCCCCTGCATCGGACCGAAGTCCGGAACTAACTGCATCGGACCGAAGTCCGGAACTGACTGGGACCTTGTCCCCTGCATCGAACCGAAGTCCGGAACTAACTGCATCGGACCGAAGTCCGGAACTGACTGGGGCCTTGTCCCCTGCATCGGACCGAAGTCCGGAACTAACTGCATCAGACCGAAGTCCGGAACTAACTGCATCGGACCGAAGTCAGGAACTGACTGACTGAACATGGCATAGCATAACACATCAACTAGCATAAACACATATACGGCATACTACATCGGGCCGTAGCCCGGAACACATAATACTTAACGCATAAAACATAGCACACAAATCCTGTTCGAGCCACGAAGGCATCGAACATTCTAGCTACTGCATCGGACCTAAATCCGGAAACTACTGCTAACTGAACGGGCCGGCATTGTGGCCTTAGACCCGTTCCTACTGGAAGGAAACTCACCTCGTAAGCTGGCTGCTGAGTGTGTGGCTCGGGAAGCTAACGGCTGCTGCTCCTGAATCTCCTCGGCTACAAGTCCATAAACACACTCAATCAAATACTAAACACTGCACTTGGGGTAAAATGACTCTTTTACCCTTGGTCAAAGTTACTCTCATTTGGACTGACTCGCCGAGTTGGGCCACCCAACTCGCCGAGTTGGGCCACCCAACTCGCCGAGTCCTACTCTCACTTTTTACTCTTACACGCTGCTACTCGTCGAGTCTGGAAACGACTTGACGAGTACCCTCTTGATCCAAGAACTCAGACAATCTTCATCCGACTCGCCGAGCCGGATGAACAAACTCGACGAGTTGTTCTTGATCTTAAGGAGATTGCCTTGGACTCGCCGAGTTGATGAACAACTCGCCGAGTCCCTCCATCACTGAGTTTACCCTCAACTCGTTGAGTCCACTCCCTAACTCACCTCGTCCACTCGACACTGACAAAACTGAGGGGACTCGGGAACTCGCGACCCAACTCGCCGAGTCGTTCTTCCCGACTCGCCGAGTTGCCGCCATGCAACTGATTTTTACTCGATTTTGTTTGAATCCAACACATACAATTGATAGATCTGGGTCCAATAAGCTGATTTACCACGTAAAGTTTCCAACTTTACGTGTACAACCTCATGAATAAGGGAAATAAGGCTAAAAGATGAATAAAATGGGTAGATCTATGGTTAATATGCAAAGTAACTCCAAAAAGACAGTAGATCTGGGCTCTACAACACCCCATCATTCAGATCCAAAGATATTTCGACTTATTAAGACATTCATGCAAACATAAGGCTTGGAACAAGCATCAACTAGCTCTTAGGAGAGCTCTAATGGAAGTTTAAAGCATATAACAAGAAGGAAACTCTGAAAATACCTCAATTAACTCAGATTTGCCCTTGGATCCTTGCACTACAACTCTTCTCCTTGCTTCTTTCTTCTTCTCCTTCTTCACACCTTCACAAAATGGCACCAAAACACTTATAAGCTCTCAAGGGAGGATTAGGGTTCTCTCACTGTGTTCTCAGGGTGAAGGAGGCGAGAATGGGAGCTATAAGGTGGTTTAAATAGTGGGCAACCCGGGGATTTAGGGTTTCACCCAGACGGATGGACTCGCCGAGTCAGGGATATGGACTCGTCGAGTCCCCGGCTCACGCGTGCTCGAAGTCGCGACCCTACTCGGCGAGTCAGGCTGTGACTCGCCGAGTCCCTCTTGAAAACTTACAACAATTACCGATGAATTAACGTACCGGGAACGGGTCGTTACAATTCTCCCCCACTTGTCTTAGACTTCGTCCTCGAAGTCTGCTACGGCTGGATCTGCAAAAATTTCCGGGTAATGCGCTCTCATCTCCTCCTCAGCCTCCCATGTCCATTCAGACCCCTTCCGGTGCTGCCACTGCACCTTTACTAGCTGAATTATCTTGTTCCTCAAGGTCTTGATCTTCCGTTCCAGAATCGCGACCGGTCTCTCAATATAATTCAGGCCGCTATCAACCTGGATATCCTCTAAGGGAACGACTGCCGTCTCATCCACCAAACACTTCCTTAACTGCGACACGTGGAAGGTGTTGTGTATCTGACTAAGCTCCTCAGGGAGATCTAACCGATAAGCAACCCGACCCACCCGGGCCAAAACCCTGAAAGGACCAATAAATCTGGGGCCCAATTTGCCCCTCTTCCGGAACCTGATGATACCTTTCCAAGGTGAGACTTTCAGAAGAACCATATCGCCCACCTGGAATTCCAAGTCTGAACGCCTCCTGTCGGCGTAGCTCTTCTGCCGACTCTGCGCAGTCTGCAGCCTACTACGGACCTGCTGGATCAACTCAGTCGTCTTGAGCACCACTTCGGTGCTCCCTATGACTCGCTGACCGACCTCGCCCCAACAAATCGGGGTCCTGCACTTCCTGCCATATAACATCTCAAAAGGAGGTCGATCGATGCTCGCATGATAACTGTTGTTATACAAGAATTCCGCTAACGGAAGATACGTATCCCAACTGCCCCCAAAATCTAGAACACATGCCCTAAGCATGTCCTCAAGAGTCTGAATCGTCCTCTCGCTCTGCCCGTCTGTCTGTGGATGAAAAGCGGTGCTGAAATGGAGACGAGTACCCATCTCGTCGTGGAACCGCTTCCAGAATCTGGACATCAAATGGACATCTCGGTCCGACACCACCGATACCGGCACTCCATGATGTGCCACAATCTCCCGCACATAGATATCGGCTAACTTTTCCGCCGATATACTCTCCTGAATCGGAATAAAATGAGCACTCTTCGTCAACCGATCCACTACTACCCATATAGACTCCACTCCACGTGCGGTCCTGGGGAGTTTGGTGACAAAATCCATGGTGATATCCTCCCATTTCCACACGGGAATGTCTAACGGCTGCATCTTTCCGTGAGGTCTCTGGTGCTCCGCCTTGACCTTCCGGCAGGTCAAACATCTCTCAACATACCAAGCGACGTCCCGCTTCATGCAGGGCCACCAATAATCAGGTCGAAGATCTCGATACATCTTCGTCGCTCCTGGGTGGATAGAAAATCGAGACTTATGAGCCTCGTCCATCAATACCTGCCGTACCCCACCCCAGTACGGTACCCACACCCTACCATGAAGCATCAACAAACCCCGACTGTCGTAATCAAACGAAGCTACTCGGCCCACTATCCTCTCACACTTCTGCCTCTCCTCCTTGAGGCCCTCCATCTGAGCCTCCTTGATCCGCTCCAACAGTGGAGTGATCACAGTCATCCTCATACACAGATCTCTGATAGGGGCTGCCGACACCTTGCGGCTCAGGGCGTCGGCCACCACATTGGCCTTCCCTGGATGATAAAGGATCTCACAGTCATAGTCCTTCAACACGTCTAACCATCTCCTCTGCCTCATGTTCAGACTCGGCTGATCCATAAGATATCGCAAACTCTTGTGATCTGTGTATATAGTACAGCGGACCCCATAAAGGTAATGTCTCCAAATCTTGAGGGCAAATACAACTGCCCCCAGCTCCAAGTCGTGGGTAGGATAATTAGCCTTGTGAGGCTTCAACTGTCGCGAGGTGATGTGTGTAAATTCAACTAGTTTTATCCCTACTTTTTATTA